CCCAGGGTCAGCGCACGCGACGAGGATCGGCTAGCCGGAATCAACTGACTCACCTGCTGGAGTTCGGTCGCTGACACTGCGGTGTGCGTGCGCTGCACTGGTGAAGCACTGTCCCAGTAGTTGCATGTTGTGTGTTGTGTGTTGTATGTTGTGCTGCCGTCCAAAGGCAAAATCCCATAGATTAGCTGCGGGCCATTTTGCGCTTTTTACGTCATCTGCTTCGCTTTCTCATGCTGCATTCGGATATTTAAGCCAATAGTTGGAATTTCATGCACTTGAAATAAAAAGAATGGGCTAAAGATGGGCTAAATTTTGTGAAAAATTCAACCGATTGTTTAAATAATCGAACCAGCGTGAGCGGATGTATTAGATGACATAACAAGCGTAAAATGACCAAAAAATAGCATACCGGTTCTTACTTTTGGACGACAGAGTACATACCGTGCACGTACAGCACAAGCAGCATGTATTACTCAACACACCGCAGGAGCTCAGTGATCCAGGAATGAAAGAAGCCGGTAGCACCGCTCCTCTGTCGTATCGAAGGAAGCGTGGTCGGCGAACCTCGCTGTGGTGTCGCACATTGGTGCTGGAAATATAGCAGTGGTGTGTGTGGGGGGTGTGGGGGTGGGGTGTGTGTGGGGGGGTGTGGATGTGTGTGTGTGTGTGTGTGGTGTGTGTGTGTGTGTGTGTGGTGTGTGTGTGTGTGTGCGCATGTGTGTGTGTGTGTGTGTGTGTGTGGTGTGTGGGTGTGTGGGTGTGCGTGGTGGCGTTTGTGGGTGTGGGTGTGTGTGTGTGCGTGTGCGTTTGTGTGTGTGTGTGTTTGTGTGTATCCGTGGGCATGCAGTTTGATTTGTTTTGTGTTTGTATTGATATGTTGTCGGGTGCGCGTATCAACATTTGACAGGGAGTGTATAACTTCTCCAGCCGCCTCAAAGTCGTTTGGTCTCGATTGGCCTCGTGCTTCACATATTATATATTTTATATATTATTTATTATATTATATATTACTTCATATGTCATATTATATATATGTATATATATATATATATATATATATATATATATATATTATTTCTTAACCGTCAACTCGCCGCTGCCACAGCCGTCACTGCCCTACTTTTACTTTCCGTTTATCTCCTTATGTATCAGCGGGGATCTTTATACCCCAGCCGCCAGCCTTGTCACCTCTTATCCTCTTTCTGTTCGCCGATTGGATTGGTATCATGTTCTACCTCCACTTCCTTGCCAGCTGCTATCTTCATCATAATTGCACGCACAGCATATGGCGTAGGCTTGCAATCACAGCAAGGATGCTCAGAGTGAATTTATGACTGCTACTAATGACCTCGCTTATATTCGTCATGGGAGGTATAGTGGAAACCCCGGTCCTGTGATCCTAAATAACAGTTGGCACGTGCAATATGGTCAGCACCATTTCCCTGTTAAGACTTTCGGAACTGCATCAGGCTGTGTTCAAGCATGACATACATATATTCTTGTTCTGACAAAGTCAAACTGCACAACGCTGTTCATGCCAGTGTACATGAATGGAGAACTACCATACGCGTTCATAGTGCACTAGCTTCACGATTTGCATTCAACTTAACATTCGTCCTTCGAAGGAGCCTTAAAACGTCCCTATTGACAATTTGACCCCCTCGGGTGCGGGTCAAATTGACCCCCGAAGGTTTTCCGGAATGGTTTCCGAATGGCGCGGCGTAGCCGCGTCAAATTTTTCATAGCTGTGGAAATTAGATATTGGATCGTCTGGCGCCGAAAATTAAGATGTACCTTGTAAGCTCATTTAGCTATGGCAGGTCAAAGCCAGGTCATGGCTTCAGCGAAGGCAATTTTTCGCGAATCGTTCAATCTGATCCAACAACGGAGTGTTATAGAAACCCATACACCACTGAGATGCTTCTTTAACAAGACAGCAATTGAATGAACAAATTACATTGACCTCGGGTCATGTATAAAAGTCAGCCCAAGGTAAAAAACAACCCGTTTTATTACTCAAGGGCTTGCTGTATGGGGTAGATTCTGGTGCCCATTTCAAATTTATTGATAGCAGGAACCGCATTATACACCTTCCATGAGCTTCTTAAAGGTCAGAATAGGTAACGGACCTAAAATGACTCAGGTCAACGTATTGTTTTTAGGAACATATTGTCTGGAGTAATTTTTGTCGCTTATTCAAATGCAGCACTCAAAGCTGTCTTGTATGATTTTGGCTACCATAACCCTCAAAAGTTTAAGAAAGGTCAGCGACCTTAAATGAGTATACAACCTTTTGCTTGGAGTAGTTATCTAGGTTCAAGTGGTCCTTTGGAAACCAGCCTGGAATTTAAACTGGTCTGACCTTATTTGACCCGAAGGTCATAACCTAGGAACCTCAAACTTTGACCTAAGTGAGGTTCCTAGGTCCGAGCGAGGCACAGGTCAACGCACCATATGAATTTGGTGTATCTAACTCACTTAGTTGCTGAGATGTCAGAGGTGTCAACCTGACCCCCACCCGAGCGATGGGTATCCAACCGGCCACCCGGGGGCGTGTCAAGGTTTTCTGAAATAATTTCTGAAAGGATTTGAGCACAGCGCGGAAGATTCGGCCAGGTGAGTTAACACCATTTGTGTTTTATATCAAGTTTGACCCAACAGCTCATCAACTTCGACCACTCCGTCGGGGGTATGCAAGTGACAACTTACTGTCAGGTGACAAATAATGTATATTTCTCGCAACAAAGACAGTTCAGAAGGGTTTTTCTAGGCGGTTTTCCTGAACGCTATGAGTTTGAAGCGCATTGTTTTTGCTTCTGCTGCTTTTCTAGGATCAGACCACCCAAGGTCAAACTTTGGCACTTTTAACGTAATTTCACAACAAAATCTGCAACACATTTGCAACATAATTTTGGGCTTTGAAGGTCATTCGATCTCATCTTCTATGCAAAACATCTTAAAGCTTTGGAGGGTCTTTTCTAAGCTGTTTCTACCATTAATACGACTGGTGTAGTTCTTGGTATAGGCGGATGGCCTAATGCTGCAACAGCTTTCGCTCCTTTGATGAAATAATACAGGTCACATCTGCCGATACTCACTAGTCCTCATCAAATCAAGCTTTCAATATCGATGCAATGTCGTTTTCCGCGCTGTCGTGGCACGCTTAGCTCTGGCAATGATTGGCGAGGCCTTTCAATCGTTAATCTGCCGCATAAACCTGTGCAAAGTGTATTTCTATCGTTATTTATTCACGCCTATCTGATGCAATTTGACTTGAGCTTTGCAGTAATGTCCTCCGCGTGGCTCCAGCGTCTTCAATTTGGAAATCTCATGAGGGACTCTGAAGCAAACTCGTAGAGGGAATGTAAAAATATTGCCCATAGGGCGAGGGTTAAGCTGGCACAACGAACCAATCTACGAAAACGGATTGGCAGGTTCATGTTCACGTTCATATTTCGCGGATATAGCGAATGGACCTTGCTGCCTGCAAACGTGCGGTTGTCAGCGGTCGCGGCCGGCGGGACCTTTAGGACAACATCGGCCTCCTATTTGTCAG